TTCCACCTGGGCATGAATGAACCACCGAATATCATGAAATCTCCTTTGGTTCTCTGCACTGGTGATATGAAAGATGGTGGGAAAATGGGGGTGATGGAGTTGTATGCACATATCAGATAGAGTTCAACAGTTCGTTAACCTGCTTAGAGGAATGGATGGTGCTTGCCATTGAAGGCGAGCGCATGACCATGCGCATAGGGCGTGCAGACGGTATTGGTAGGACTACTCTACCATCAGTATCGCTCCGTGACAGCATGATTTGAAGACCACTGCACAGAGTCAGTTGGCCGCCGCCCAAAGTTTTATAATAATTAGCGTTTTACGCAGAACGTTTACCGGAATAAGTGGTGATACCTTAGCCACCCTGGAAGCATCCTTATATAGGTGTAGGCTAGAAAATCAAGTACAAACAACAAATTCTTTCCTGAAGGATTGTTCAGACATTCAAGAAGTATTTCAAGGAGAAACCATCCACGTGGTCACTACGATGGTTAACCTGGCATACGAGAAGCTGCTCGAGAACTTGAATCTCTACTTTCCACATACATGTTTTGCACCATTTTGTTGATACATCTAAAACCTTGTAGTTGTAGTTAATCATACCGTTTCCAAAATTTTTGCTGGCCCACTCGTCAATACAATATCCTGCTTTGTAACTCTCATTACCTTCCTTTATTTACACTGTCTGGCGGTAGTAACTCAGCAGTGCACGGGATAACAAGAAAGGAGATAGTGTATCGGCAGGTGAACATGAGTTTGGAACCAGATACCAGGGCTCGACATGTGGGTGAGCTCGAGGCGATCGACCTTTCGGAGGTCTTACCGGTGGATACCATTACTGGTCCCACCTAAATGTCACGGCTACAGCTGCTAACAACCACATACGACAGGGATATATATTGGGAATATTTCCGGCCACTTTGCGGTAGGCATCCACATTTTTGTTTATTGTATTTTTCCTGTTTGTCCTACTTCAAGTTTCTGACCCTGTCGTATTTCTATGCGCCAGTACTGATATCTCTAAATTCCCATAATCAGGACTTTTTAAATGACGAGTAAATAAATATTTTAAATGCAGGATCTGCGGGTGCCGTAAGCTTTTTTGCCTTCCTTTAAGTTCACCGACCAGCAATTGTGATTTTTCCACACAAAACATTTACTGACGAAAAATCATGTAATCTCGCATATCACAGAGCTCGGATACACGAGCTCTATTTACCGGTGGCTGCTGGATATGTGAAGAAGATTGTATTGAAGCACCATCTAGCCACACCTTATGCTGTTTTGAAGCAGGAAGTGATAGAAGCTGCTTCTTTATCTGGCCAGAAAGCTGACGATCAACCGCTTAGTAGAGTAGGCCTTGGTGATAGAACAACTTCACAACTTAAACGGCGTGCTCAAAGTCTGTTGAAAGATAGGATCGTCGACAACCGTCGACACTGTCAGCTTAGGCTCCAGAACCCTCCTTCATGTACACGACAGATATTAGCTTTTGGAGATACACCCAGTGACGCTGATAGGCTGACTGATCGAGTGTATGAAAGAGTGACTGGATAGGTTGAAAGCATTGCAGCGCCAACACAAAGGACTGAGTCGTAGGTTTACAGAGGAAGACTGACTTACTTACAGGACAGCGACAGGTTTGCAGTTACATAGACGGTCATAGAAGTCCAACAAAAGTTAATATCTAATTCGCCATGAAACCACGAGAACTGTGCAGAAAAGAAACAAGGGCTGGCATCATAATGAGTCTGGTGGTAAAGCACGTTGTCCGTTGCGGTGAGATTTCAGAACCCACTGTTTTCGGAAAATGTAAAGGCTTGCGGTGTGCGAGAACGTAGCCGTTTGTTTCAAGTGAAGGATAAGAAGTCCAGAGTGCAGTTTCTGGTTGACACTGGAGCAGAAGTCAGGGTGATCCCACCCATACCAAAGCGACCTTGGTGCTCCTAGTGGCAAACAGATCTATTGTTGTCACATATAGAAGCACAGCTTTTATTCCAGACTTCAGTTTTTACACAACATTCCAGCGGGGATTTGTGATTCGTGACAGATCGTCTCCTATCATCTGCACGGTTTCCCTTCAACACTACGAACTGTTAGCTGACCCTAGCCCCCATGGACTGGTTGGCCGTAATGTTGAATGTTCTGTGTTGGGTACAATAACCGAGAAGGAACCAATAAGTCTGACGGCAGCTCCAATAAATAACACTTCCAAGCGTGATGTCCTACAGCGGGAATTCCCCGAGCAAACAAAATGGATGACGAAAGGTTCTCGCCGAAATGTACGACACGCTGCGTTGTTACGAAAATTCCACCAACCTCTGCGATTTGACCTCGAAAGGTTCTGGACAACAAAACAGGAATTCGATAAGCCTCTGAAGTTGGGAATTATACGCCCTTCTAAGGGCTCATGCTCATGACCCTTGCGCAAGAATCCTAAAAGCCACCGACCTTGATTAACGGGCGTTTACTAGACACACGGTAGCTGACAGATACCTAGCTCCTCACACATGACTTTATGAACCGCGTGACAGAAGTCAATATATTTTCAAGATTGGCGTAGTGTGAGCTTATTACCATGGCCCCGTAGAACCCAATGATATCCCTAAGGCGGGGATCACTACTCCCTTTGGATTATTTCACTTTATTCGCATGCCACTTCGTTTGATAGATGCCGCTCGAACCTTGCAGAGATTTATAGATCAGGTACCGCATGGTTTACCTTTCGTCAGTGCATACGTAGACCGCTTACCAGCAGCTAGAGCGTCTGAAAAAGAAAGCCTGTAGCGTCTAACGAAGCTTTTTGAAAGACTGCGTGGGTGTGGCATTCCAGCATTTCCACAGAAGTCTAAATTCGGTGGGGGGTCCCCACAGTTTCTGGGCCACGTAGTTAATACCGTAGGCGTTAAATGGGTTAGTAAGAAGCAGGTGAAATTGAAGAGTATCATATTCCATATTCCTTTTGAAGCCTACACAGATCCCCCGGGTTGATAAACTCGTATCGACGTTGCATACCTAACTGCGCTGAAACAGCCCAACTGCTGACGTACTTGTCGCTAGGACGGACTAAAGTGCTTCACACGACCCAGGAGCCCCTCGATACCTTTGGCACGATGAAGCTGGCTCCAAATTCTGAAACCATTCTCTCGTCGTAATTCAGAGGCACCACTAGCAATCATGACATGCTTCGAATGCAGTATTACAGTATTACAACAGTTTATCCACGATCAAGGGGTGCCATTGCTTTTCTTCTGAAGGCGACTTAGCGCTTCAAATACGCGATATGGTACACTTAGCAGTGAGTTAGCGGCGATTTACTAGCTACCAAGCCTGTCAGATATATCTTCGAAGGGTACACTTTTACAGTATTTACGGATTAAAAGCCTCTCACAGAAGTACTCGACACAAAGCGCGATAGCCAGTCTCCACCAGAAGTTGGACATCTGGGATTTACCTCACAACCCACCTGAGACACTGAGTATGTTGGAGGTAATAAGAGTGTTACTGTTGATGCCTTACTTCGTTGCACGTGAACGCCGTAGAACGTGACCATATCGACCTAATGAAAAAATCAAAGCTGCAGGGGATAGATGATGCCTTAAAGCAGCTAAAGGGCAATTCAAACACCCCATTACGTCTTGAAGAAGTGATGCTCGACGACTCTCCACCCATCGCCTGAAATATATCAAGGGGCAAACCACGTCCGTCTGTGCCTTTTCCCGCGAAACGGTCAGTCTTATGTAGGATGCATGGCATTTCGCACCTCAGAATTCGAGCTATGCTTCAGTTTATTACTGACTGATAAGTCTGACCGAATATGAATCGAAATCTTTGGCGGTGATCCAGAGCTCACTTAGCGTTCCAGTGGTCAAAAGCATAGGGACATATTCTCTCGTCTACCAAAAGATTTTCCGCACTAGATGGTAGACTTAACCGTATACATGTTGACATTTTTGAGCCGCTATCTCCATCAAATGGTTTCAGCTACACTAACATGTGTAGATGGATTCACGAAATGGCCAGTGACAAATTTCTGCATGATGTAACAGAAGAAACAGTGGCAAAAACACCATCCAACACTGGAGTTCCAAATTTGGCCTCCCAAGTACTACCACTGCAGACAGAGGAGTTCTGTTCGAGAGTTATCTACTTCAACAGTTAGCCGAACTTCTCGGGGTCAGGAGCATAAGAACTACGGTGTACTACCCTGCACCCAGTGGTATAGCTGGAACGTTCCATCGACATTTAAAATTAGCACTGATTGCAGTGACGTCCAGTGACAAATGGAGTGACAAATTATCACTGGTTCCCCATGGTATACGTTTGGATGTCAGGTGTGACTCTAGCTCCTCTATCCCCGAGCTCATGGAACCGCCTTGCGAATACCAGCAGAATAGCTGAACCCAGCACCAGATGCTCAGCCGGACCTAACCAACCATGAGTATCTCCAACTGCACTCGCTTTTTTATACTGCATGATGGCGCGTGGAAACCCTTGCAAACTACATATGAAGGGCCTTTCGCATTCGTCAGCAAGTCAAACAGGATTTTCATGTTCAAACGCTCTAACTAGCGAGAAGCGGTTAGCGCCGACAGAGTCAAGCCAACTTAGTGTATCGGTAAGTGAACATGAGTTTCAAACCAGACACCAGGGCTCGACACAATCACAAATAGTGGGGAGAACCAATCATGCTACAGGGGATTCTAGGACGTGAAACTGGACCTAGTCTACCTTAGCCTCTACTCCCTACAACTGAAAAGACGTTGCAGGATCCCGGAAAATACAGAGGAAAAAGAAGAATCTCTTCTACGCAGAGTATTTGTTTTCGCGTCGTATAGTCAACTGGAGCCGACTCTCAGGGGGAGTTGGTATCCACGCCATCAACTGCCTCAAAGAAAGATGATTGAATATGGGTGGAAATCCATTGGGAAAGAATTATTATTGGTTCATAGCCTCCCATCTTCCAACTGCAAATCTTAACTTGAAATTGGATATTGAAGCTTCAAGGTCATGGTCACATAAGGTTGCTTATTTGATCTAGCTCACGTTGGTTCGATACCAACTATTCGGGATTTCTTATTAGCATTTATCTAGTAGGTAATTCACTATCACTATGTGTGGTGTCAAATTCAGAACCTAATATGGAATTGTACTGTACTGCAGTGCTCAGGTTTTACTTATGCATTCAAGGTCATCCGTTTCGCCATGACCAACATTACAATGGAAAACAGTATATTCGTACTTTCATGCTGCGTATACGTTATTGTTTTCATCGTTATTCATGCGAGAATCATAAATTTTGTAAGAACTCTGCGCTTCTGCTATGTCATTAGTGTGCCTCTGTAATGAGACCACTACAACGTCATTAATTAGGCAATTCACTCAAACAGATTCAGATTTGTTGTTTGAGGATAGGAGGCTATGAGCCTATATTAACCCTTTTCCAGTAGATTTCCGTGCTTGTCGAATCCCCTTCTTGAACAAGTCAATCGATGGTGCGGACACCACTTCTGGGAGTCGGTTCGAGCCGTTGATTACTTGACGCGAGAACCAGTACTCTGCGGAGACTACGTTCGTTCTTTGCTTTTGTAGTCTCCTACTATGTCCTCTGAGGTGTTCCGACCCAGTGGAAAGGAAAATGGAAGTTAGATCAGGCTTGAAGTCATTTCCTGGAATCCTGTATAGCATGATTAGTTCTCCCCTCTGTTCGCGGTAGGACAACTTGAAGAGTTTCAGTTCCTTAAGTAGGTCTACACAGGTGATGCCAGCCATCGCAGGGACCATACGAGTGACTGCCCTCTGAAATCTTTCCAGAAGGTCTGCGTCACCTTTCAGACAACAAAAATGGGAAAATAAAGTGGATGAATGTAGAGATAGTGGAGTAATTCAATTTAATGGATACTCCGATTAGAAGTTTGATGAAAATACCAAGTAGGTGTAATGTATTTAATATTTAGAAAGCTTCAATGCATATTACTAACACTTCAAATCAGCAAATAATGTCACCAACTTCGATAATTTAATATTTTCTGCATATACTAAGAATCTATGGAATTACTGAAGTTAGTGTGTTTATTTTCTGATTTGAAGTGTTGGTAATATGTATTGGGGCTTCCTAAACGTAAAATATATTACACCTACTTGATGGTTTCGTAAACCTTCTAGTCGAAGTATCCATTATGATGAATTACCCCACTATTTCTCCATTCATCCACTTTATTTCCCTTTTTTTTACTGTCTGGGCACCTCTTGGAGTCATTAAATACACACTTCACACTCTTGCCACTTTTCTTAACTTTGATTGTCCACAAGTTGACTGAATTCCGCCACCATATTTACTGACACGGTGTTCGACCTGTTGCTTTCCTAATTCTGAATGTTATACGCATAACAGACTCCGAAGCCTCACATTTCCCTCAGTGCGCAAGCATTTCGTAGAACTCAGCACTGTATGTAGGTAACCCGAGGTTTCTTATGTCAGCAATGGCCAACTGTGCATGCACGCAGCAAAAACAAAAGCTTGTGTAATGGTCTGAGTGTGACCGTGTACCTTGGGCTTGACATTCCTGTTTAGACTACTCTTCGAAGGAATATTGTTCAGCTATAAATTATTGGTTTGGGAATTACTTTAGGTTCCCAGACTAACACTTCGTATGTCGCCAGTAGTACAGCAAGTTCACATCAGTACAATACCTTCGTCTTTTCCCCAGAAAAACTATACACAACCATAAGTTCCTAGCATACGTTGCGAATGTCCTTCTCTTACACTAAACGCATGTAAGTTATATTTCTGTTTGGAGTGACATAATCATACGGTGATTTATACAGTTTTATCACTCATTTTAACTATACCAGCTCCCTTCAAAGTTGATTAGGTTGGTGTTTGAGCTCCCTTATCAGTAGTTGTCCGCTTTTCAGTTCTTATTCATAAAGTGATGACAAGGGTTTTGTGATTTTCGCAGAAATAGTGGTCTTTTGCCTGATTCACTACAATGTAAGGCTACATTTTTGTATGCAATTCACTACCACTTGTTAAGGTATCAGAACTTTCAGCCCTACTACAGTGCTTGCTGTCGAACTTTAGATAGAATTGTTTTTGACGCTTAAATGAAAATAATTGTTCGTTAGTTTTAGAGCTTCCACCAGCTTCGGGTCAACAAGCCCTGTATATACTCAGAAAATTTATTTTCGCCTGCAAAATTTTCAGATTTACTGCACCACTTAGATTCTTCTTTTCCTCAGTTTTATTATTGTATCAATGTTTAACGAAGTCCTGTACGGCGTGACTAGTTTCACTAGTGCTTGTATCTGTTATGAATTCGTACTGTCGCCCTAACTAAGTTCATACCTGACCTGGTGGTCCAGCATGCATATCACAGTGACCCAACGAGATACACTGGCTGGAATGCTTGTTTCCTCGGGGTCCTACCATTCCAAGAAGGTCCGTTGTATAGTGGTCCTATAATAGCAGTTACCGTTGTAGTGTAAATTACTGCACTATGATGGGGATCTGAAGGCGAAGTCGTACTGCTGCTAGCTGGATGGGGTGACAGCAGTAAGGTGTTTCCCTTGGGTGACTATCATCATCAAAACCAACATAGGACCTGGCATTACTGCGTGGCGGTCCAAGTTGCCACGTCAGCATATCAAGTAACAAGGTATTAAAATGAAAGAGAAAGAAGGAACAAAAAATCGGTCACTGAAAGTAGGAAATGGTAAAAAGAGGAAGAAAGAATGGGAAAATGATAAGATTAAGTATAGTGGTTAAGTGAGGATAATATGTGTATACATCACCACTGATATCGATTCTGAGCCATATCATCTAGAGTTCACAACCACATGTTTCTCTTGTCATATGAACCGCTACTGGCTAGTCTGCATCGTCCGACATGGCTCAAGGACTTCATGCATCGATGGCATTCTTGAAACACCTCCGAAGGAAGTGCCTCACGGTGGTGTAGATCTACTACCCGGAGAACGGGTATTCAGCCTTGAATATGCGGATGATATCATCTTACTGTACGATAGCACATAGGCTACTGAAGTTGAACTTAATCAGTTGGCGGTTAGTGTCCATAAGTATGGTGTGTGTGTTCGTGCATCTGGGTAGTGGTGTGGTGAAATTTCCAACTGCATATTGAAAGCCAGAGTGGCATAAGTCAATCCGCCCCACCTTTGGTGCTGTCGGGACGTTAGTCTGATCGTAAAAGGTCGGGTTTACAACACTTCACTTCGAGCATTTCTGCTCTACCCCTGTAAAACCTGGCCTCCGAGCTAAGAATATGTAACGACTCTGTGTTCGTTTATTTTTGTCTCCGTAGGACTGTTCGTATCCGGTGGCAACACCATGTACGACAGCTTGTGTTTGGGCATAATGGAGATCTTCACTCAATTAGTGAAGTTATCGGAGAACACCAACTTCGGTGGCTTGGACCATGTGTTACGCATATCGTCGCAACGGGTTCCACGCCGTTCATTGTTTGCCACCCCTGAGACTGGACGGAAAGAGCGGAGGGGTGGTCAGTGTATGACGTGGCGCTGTGACATGTAGGTTAGTTGTATCGGGTTAGCATTTGTTGGTTCATCGCGACTCTCTGGGTGGAGTCTGAGAGCAGGCAACTCAGTGGCCTCAGGCGTTATCAGATATGGCTCAGAATAAAAACCAGTGGCGATCATGGCGTAGCTTCCTTCTGTCTTGTGCTGCTGAAGAGTAATGAGCGTTTCGTTTCGATTGTATCTTACTAGATTGCCCTTCTAATCATTTTAATTGTTTTATTTTTATCCACTTCTCTTCGCTTTATATCTTCATAATGTTATTTTGTGTGGCCCATTTCTCGGTGTCCGTGCTGTACCATGTTTGCGCTCTAATAAATAAATATAAGTAACCATGCATTGATGCCATGCTTTAGTCTGGCTATCCCTAGCCTTTTTCTAGCATGGACCTGACTATCAGTACCAGGCTGGTGCTACCTTTTCAATGGGAAGGGGGTAGTTAGAGAGGGTCGGCCCCAAAAGTAGCCACGGTTGTATTAGGTACTGAGTGTGGTTATTAATTTGACCTCACCTGACTAGTGCAGTGAATCTTGAAAATTTACCCTAAGAGTATCCAGAAACCCAAAGGCTCTCGTGTACTCACTGATGTAGGCATAGCATAATTTCAAATCACTCTAATGCAGATTCACTTCCTTCTTACTTGTAATGTTTGAATATTTTTAAACTATCGTTTTGCTCATTTAAGCTTCTTTTTACCCTCATTCTGCTTCTACTGTTAAAAGTTGCAGCAAAATAAAGAAAACGTAAGGTCTTCATTTCTCTATTCTGCATTATGTATAATAATGTAGGTTATACCATGGTTTTGAGTTTCAGTTTTTTTCTCAACTACATTATATTTATTGATAGTAATCAAATTCGTAAGTAAATACCTCATCAACTGCATTCTCTCGATCAGCAACTGTTAGCGTCATATCCTAGCATGGCTTGTATTTTAGTGTTATAGTCGAACTCCAGTTTTGCCGTGAAGGTTGTTTGAAAATTGGCAGGACTATAAACAGTTATTTTGCGAATAGTTTGCTTTATTTTGGAGGACAAAGGGCTTGATGAATAGCAATCCGATACAGTAAGGAGTTTTAAGCAATCAAAATTCTGAATAGTGTTTTCTCACTCTGGAAACTAGGCTTCAGTTTTAAAGATGTTCTTTCAACCTTATCTAATGGCTTCCTATTGCCAAAGGTAAACTTTCCCAAGAAACAAACTCAACTCTACAAATACCAACGTGTCAGAAAGCTGTATTGATCCAGCCTTAAGCATACATTACTTGGACACTAGTCACAAAAACGTCATTTATTTTCGCTCCTTATATTCCTGGATACAGTAACGGTCTGAACAGTTGAAAATCATCAGCCTGTCACATTTCTAATAACATAAAGAATACATCTGATCATCACATCCTCTCTATTGTTGTTTTTTCCTTCGTTTTCATTACTTCTCCTGGTTACCAACATTTTGAGCTAAAGAAACACTAATCTCTTAAATTCTGGTTGTCAACATCTTGTTAAAGTCTCTAACATTCAAAGTACATATGGATTCAGACAGTTGACTCCGAAGCAGTGAGTCACATTCAGACCCAACTTCATTTTTTTGGTCTGGGTAACCAGTTAGTATCATAAACTGTTGCACAATATGTACCTTAAAGCCTGGTTCACGCTCATCTGTGTCGGCTTGAGTTACATCATAGTTTGTCATTAGCCAGAATTCTGAAGTCCAAGTCATGGATTTATTATTTTTTCTGCCGGGGAAGATAAGAAGTCTACGTATGGTGATTCACTTGACCACCCCTGTCCCTGATGCTTGATCTGTAAAGTGCACCCTGTGGTTTTAGAAGACTGACCAAGTGATTTATTTACAGGGGCTTAGAAATACTAAACGCTAGTCAACAGTCGCTTGTGCTTTTCAGCTAGATGGGTTCGAAATATAAAACATCTGGTTGTAGCTTCTTATTCACCAGTTGACTGTTTCCAACTGTGTGAAGGATGAGTTTTGTCAAAAAATATCAGTTTTGTTACATAGATCAGACGCTAATGTAAAGTCATGCTAACAGGCAAATTTAATGCACATGTATGAAATTTGAAGGAATAATGAAAACACTTATGGGTATCGTCAGAACCTCATGGTGACAAACTGATAATAGTGTTTGTAACCTACAAAATTGTCTTGAGTCACTTATTTCTGGCTAGCATTAAATCCAAATATGAGGAAAAACAATATCTAGCTTTGGGGTCACTCACTTGTAGTCGACGTTGGATGTTGGGAGATTAAATTACCATCAGTTTTCATTGAATAGGATCGATGGTAGATCGTTGCTTTTAAATAAATACTTGCATTCTAATCATGTTTAGCTGGTCTACACCCATATCTAAGTTCTCCTCCGTCATTTTTTGCACTAATTATTGATATATAAAAATATTCAATGTAAGTCAACCTGGTAAATGTTCATGTACCAGGCTATAAGCCACATATTTTGTATGGGGATTTGTTTTAATAGTGAGTTACTCAACTCGAATTAAGTGGAGTGGGGCTCGAACTCGGGGCCCATTGCTTAAAAGTCGATTCTCTAACCCGATAAGCTACATCTCACTCCTGTATAGCAGTTGTGAAGGCTGTTGTAAAACTGACTTTTTATTTTGTTTGCAGATGTCTTAAAGGATGGTGATCGGGAATTTCTCTTTGGTTTTATTTGGGTATGGCTATTAGATATAGTTAAGATGGAGGTTCTGTTTACCACTAGAAAAGCCAAAAATCAACAGCATGAAACCTAATATCCATTCAGGCTACAACAGCAACCCTAGAAAACCAGGCAGGCTTTAGACCCGGCCGCGGATGTATCGACCGAAAATTCACACTACCCCAGGTCCTGGAACACAAACACCCTTACCGACGCCTTGCAATAGCTATATTTCTCGACCTGAAGGCGGCATTCGATTTCGTGGGTCGAGAAGTCTGATGGCAATGTCTGTCACTGAAAAGCGTGCCGAGTAAGTACATCACTTTATTGAAGGCTCTCTACTCAAACACTTGTGGCATGTTAGAGCCCATGGTGAGGTGTCTGGGGAGGTGTACTCGTCAAGTGGTGTCCGTCAAGGGTGCCCATTCTCTCCATTCCTATTCAATTTTACCATAGATATTCTTATGGAGGTCCCCCTCTCGTCACCCGACTAAATAGAGGTGGACCTAATCGCGGGAGAATTTTCGTTGGTACCTAGAATACTCAGATGACATAGTCCTGTTAGGTGAAGACGCCAACAAGATTCAGAGTCTTCTGGACACCGAATGGCAATTTGAGAGTGTTTGGGATGCGTTTCTCACCACCCAAGTGCAAAGTTTTGCTCCAGGATCGGTCTTCAACTGTGCCCCACTGTGGCTAACAATAGAGTGTAGTGATTGAGTGTTTTGACCACTTCACTTACCTGGGAAGTGGGATCAGCCCTAGTGGCTGGCTCAGTGGCCGATGAAAGCTCTTCACAAATACAAAAGGCTCGGTTGGCTTTTGCAAACTCACGCCACCTGTGGCACCGCCGTGATACCCGATTGTCTCTTAAGGGTCGCGTGTACTGCACCTGCACAGCAGTACTCTCTGTTCTACCCTCTGGCTGTGAAATATGGCCATTGAAAGTGGAAGATATGAGAAAGCTTCAGGTGTTTGACCACCGTCGCCTTCGTAGTATAGACCGTATTCCGTGGTATCACCACGTGAGTAACGCAGAAGTCTGATTTAGAGTTTTGGTTTGTTTAGTTTTTAGTTTGTTTACTCTGCCTCTTTACAAGGGGTTATAAGCCAGTATCTGGCGAAACGCAATCCAACTGTAGTAATCCCTTGGTTAGGAATCAACATAATCTAATTTACTGTCAGTGGAGAAATGTTGATGTGGTTATAGAGAATTCAGCAACATGTCTCTTTTTTTCCCGTTTGACACATGTTTCATTAACTTTTCAAAAATTGTGAATTCTCACTCAGTATGTCTCATCCTCCTTTGTACGTCTCTCATATTCGAACTAACTATTCATTTATTTGCATGTTTTGGGTAAGCAGCACACCTCGCTTATATTGTAAGTTTTAGTTGTATTCTTTTGTTGGTTTACCGTTTAGGTGATATTTCTGCATGGAATAACCCTGATCATACAAATTGTCTACAAAGCAAAACAGTACAACTAAGGTATCGCTTGAAACTAACCCTTTGAAATTATGTAGATAAGAACATCCTACAATATCAATTTCATAGGCCAAAGTTTTCTAGGGTCACTACTACTTTAGCTGTATTTTTACCAGTAGTATTAAAGGACTGCAAGAAGATTAGATCTGATAACTCGTGTCTCTATTCTTTTCGAACCGCTATTGTCTTAGCGAAATCTTTGAGCAGCTCCAGACTACACTTTCGATGGAGGAGACAAGAAAGAACTGGAGTAGTGTTTTGCTCCTAGTACTTAATACTTTGAGTTGATAGTTGTATACCTGTTGCATTGTTGTTCACTATTCATTTTACACAACTTCCATGTTTTGAGCCTGATTTAATGCGTATTTTATCTCTTCCAGTGAACGTGGCAGTTGGTGATGCCATCTACTTTCGACGGTAAAGCAAGACTTCTACGTTATCCTACTTTATTTTCACAATGCGTTTTTGAATCTTCAGCCTATGCCAAATGTGTTTTATCTGCGGAAGATGTCAGACGTAATTCATGTGAAAAGGAGTTTCAGATTTTAAAGTGTTGTCTTCAAAAACGTGCTCGAGAAACTGGTATAAGGCTTTGATCTTCATTATCACCACTGTGTTCACAATGTCGAGCAACGAAAAATCAAAAAACAATGTAACTTCCCATGTTAGTCTGTTTCCCGCCCCACCTTGGCAGTTGATCAATAAACTGTTCAGTACAGATACACCTCCACGACCACCTACTCCTCCTGGTTCAACTCCCTACAGAATGTTTGGAAACTTTTATAATTCTGATGATGCCATTCTCCGATCTTTAGAATCACAAGGTGTTCGTCGAGTCTATCCACAGGTTAGTTCTTTAACGGAGTACTTCCCCTATTCATTTCAAAGACATGTGCATAGTGTGATCTTGGAAGTATATTTGCATAAAGTTTATGCAAGATCTTGCTGTAGGTCGAATACGGTAATTAGATGAGGAGGAATTTCCGATGTAAACGTGCTGGTTTTAAAATAAAGGAGAGGTGTGTCAGGTTTTTGTAAATGATGCATATTATAGTTAACTCGGTGTATTTCACTACTGTTTTTCGTATAGGCAATCAAAAGATTTTCAACGTAGGTTTTGTCCATGCTAAAATTTACTGTTAACACTTGTCTAGCACCTTCAACTGTGGTGTTCATTTTAAAATATTAAAGAAGTTGTAAAGAAGCCATTAATTGTTGTATAACTCAATCAGTAGTATATTCACTGCAACTGTTTCTTTTTTAAAATCGTACAGAACGGAAATAAAGTGTTGGGAGGCAAGTGAGTTAATAAAGGAAGGCTTGATGGACAGTTATAATCATAGAATGGTTAAGCTTGTCCACTCTGTTGATGAATTCAAAATGGAACATTTATTGTTTGAGGTACTATGGTGTTAGGAAACCCTATTTAGAAGTAGTAATATTCAAATAGCTATTACTATGATGTAAAGAATTGCTTGATAATGAGAATCTGTAGGGAAGTCGTAATTTTTGTTTTTACTGGGATATAAGAGTGGTAAAGCGACCAAACTTTCCAACTGCACCTGTTTTCCATTCTTGGGCTTTGTAGTCAAGCAACAACAATAACCTTTTTTTCTCTTCTGCGTACTATAGCAAGACACCGACCTGCACTTTCACTTAAGAGTCCATCTATCAACAGAGGTTGAACGCTTCAGCTTTGTATAGTAATGGGAAATCTTAAGTATCAAGTAAGATTTAGTGATCCTTCAAATAAGTAATGATACATATATTCAACAATATCATTTCGGATGAAAAAATAAACAGATAATGAGACAAAGTGAACTTTCTTAAAACGAAAAATTATCTAGTCCACCATATTGTGACAAATGCAATATAATAACTTAATACAAGAGACATTTTTGATCTTTTATTGAGAGTAGAAACGTATTAAAAAGTAATGACTGAAAGCATTGTTATGAAAAGTTGCGTGCAAAGTGTTTTCTTGAAATCTTTGTCCACACAGTGCATCACGTTGGAAGATAGTGATTGGTTTGTATGCTTCAAAACTTCGTAATATTATTCTGCTAAGTATATGTCTTCAAAGCAGGCGGAAATGTACATTAAGAAACAGGCACGGTGTGATCAACGTCTGTTACTCGCCTTAGTTCACGTCTGTTGCATGTTGTCCTCAGGTCGTCAAATGTGTCAATTCGTGCTTGTTTTACTCTGTTAAGCTTTCATACAGTAAAATATTTAATAAGCTGTAGCTAAGTATAAGAGAAACTGATACATTTATTGACTTGTTTATCTAAAACAATAGTATCTTTATAAAATACAACCCTGATAAACTTGATTAGTTGGAAATTATGCATACAATTCAGCAACATTATCTCCCTATAAGAAGATGGTTCAGATATGTTTGGGCTTATTAGTAGTAGAAGCATAATAATTCACCCACATAGTTTGGAATCATCTAAACTAACAAATTGTCTCTAACCACTTAAACAGACTAGAATTACACAGGATAAAAACAACAAAACATAGGCGACTCTTAAGATTCCACTAGCCAGGTTATCACAGTGATCTAAGAACCGGACGGCCGTTCCGCTCTTTTGGAGCCTAATCAGCGGTGTACTCGCAGAAATTCAGCTCATAAAACCGAATTAGTTCAAACCACCGGAAATATACAAAACGCTATAGATAAATTTGAGTGACTGTGCACAGTGGTGGGCAGTGAAGTCTAAAGAGATGGGAAAGGCAATGGCAATAGGTAGCAGTAGACAATTATTTAGGCTTATTAGACAAACTGGGGCGTAAAGATCAACGGTTAGTGAGACTATAGTGTAAAAGGGTGGGTCTGCGATTCACTCTCAGGGAAGACGACTGGAACGATGGGTAGAACTCTTCAAGGAACTATTGCGTTGCCCGCTATCCAATCGGATCCGGAATCCAACATTGGGATAGGCCCCCCAGCACTTGCAGAAGTCGAGAAGTTGTAGGTAACCTGAAACGCGGAAGGGCAGCGGGACCAGATAGACTAGTTCCTAAGGTTTATAAGGACAGTGGTAGAGTGTTTTGAGTCAAATTAACTGAATTATTAATTGGTGCATGAGAATCAAATAAGATCCACCTTAACTGTTCTAAATCACTGACTATTCCATTCTTCAAGAAAGGCGAAAAGTCCTCCTATGATAACCACAGAGGAATCAGCCTGAGGAACATAGTATCTAAAATTCTAGGTTCTATAACTCTTCAACACCTGAGTGGAGCTAGAGAACAGCAAGCCCGAAAAAACCAGGTAGGCTTTAGACCACCTAGCCATGGATGTATCGACCAAATATTCACACTACGCCAGGTTCTGGAACATAGACACGCTTACAGACGCCTGACAATAGCTGTATTTCTCGACCTGAAGGCGGCATTCGATTCCTTGGATCGAGAAGTCTCATGGCAATGTCTGTCACTGAAAGGCGTGTCGAGTAAAAGTACATCATCTTATTGAAGACTGTTTATATTACATTCTCTGAATTTGCTTTGCATATTTATATAAGTTTTTGTTGTGTTGACAAAATGTATATTTTATTTTTTCTTCTCAATAAAATTCATTACATAGACATACAATCGAAAACGTGAGCTAAGAAAAATCAATTTTTCAATCTTGGCTAATTACCTTGATCTGTTGGATATCATCACACGTGATCCTAGCTCTTCTAAACGAACTGAAAAACTTGATCATTTGGCAATTCTATTTATTAATATGCATCATCTTGTCAATGAGTATCGTCAACATCAGGCTAGAGATTTACTTCGAGAAATTCTAAAATATCAGGTAATTAGCCTATTCACTTTAAGAGATACATACTATAACATTGGATCTTATTCTTTGAATACATTATACCGAAGGCATAGTGTAGAGTATTTTCGTGTTGTTTTTTTCGCTTTCAGTATAAAAAGTCAATCGATAGAAAACTACTCAAATGAGTGTTTCCATGTTTTGATTGCATTTGTTATATCACCATAAGCGACTGGGTTATCAATAAGATTTTACTGTTTCATTTGAAAATATTTGATTATTCAAAAGATTTTCGATTCCCTGTCCTAGTGAATTACTCTATTAAAACAAATTTATAACACATCGTGATCATGTAAGTTTACCTCATTACATAAACTTCTTGTGAATCACGGTAGGTATAGATCATGAGTATTGTAAGACTTTCTTGGAAATCAACAAGATATGAGATGACCAAGAGGATCAGAAGTAAAACTCACTCAAAGATAGTTAACACTCAATTGATGTCCTGTAGAAATACCATCCATACAACAGGATTCATGGAATTTAATCAGCCGAAATAGGTCTTGTTTACGTCTGTGGTTAAAATTAGCAATCTGACATTTAGAAGCGTTTAACTTGAGACCATTTAAGATAGACCGCTGATCAATTACAAACAGGAAACCATTTAATTCAGACCAATCTAAGTGAAAGTTAATTGGAATAGAAACCATTAAATCATCAACATACTTAATAAAGTTAGTTTCAACAGAATAAGGTAAATCATACAAAAAGAATGAGAAGATGAACGGAGAAAGTACTGCAGGTTGAAGCATACCAGCTTCAGTAGATAATGAAGTGGAGCGCTTCCCTTTATAGATAGTATTTCGCTTCCTTTCAGAAAAGAATACAGTCACTTTGTAACCCAGGGCTGAGTATGAGCTATGGCAAGCTTATTTAACAAGAGTGGTCTAGGAACAGAGTCAAAGGCTTATGCGTAATCCAAGAAGACAAAACAAACATGCTTAGCACCTTTGTCTAGACTAGAAATAATATCATGATGCAAGACACTGGAAGGATCTAAAGTACCTCTCCTATGTTTGTAACCAAACTGTTTTGGATCTCTGAAAACCACCAATGAAGGCTTAATCACAAGGTAAGGTAATTTCTCTATTTTCTTCAAAAATAGGAAGTTATGGCGATGGATCGAAACTTAACATTTGATCCAGAAGATGACTTAGACCCAGGTACAACTTTGATCTCCTTCCAAGCAGCAGGTATTGTGTTCCTAGAAAACGATTCATTGAAAATATCTATAAGGGGATGACATAAAATATCTGCACATTTTCTAAATATAATACTTGAAACACCATCAGGATCTAGGCTTTGGGATGGATTCAAGGATTTAAGACGTTTATAAAATACATCATGTGTATCAAAACCATGGACATGGAATTTTCTAGCGGGCAGACATCAGAACAAGCTTCTTTTTTCAATCTATTTTCTACCAGTAAGCTCTTTAAATAATTTTCGTATATTGGTATTCTCACACGACAGAAATGTCTGGTCGTATATATTATTTGGACGTTGTATTTCAGACTTAGTTAGACAGTAAAGTCTTTTAATGTCAGGGTGATTTCTCGTGTAATACAACCTTTTCTTTTCTTTGTGGAGCCTGTTGAGATGAGGAGAGGAATGTCTGTTGAATCTTAGGTAGATTGTTTCACTAGGGCAGCATATATCGAGATAGAATCTGAGATAGCTTGTGATATTAATCATAGTGTTGTCTAAAACTTCATCAGTTAACATATCCCAATCTGTTTCTTTAAACATGCTTCTACAACGTAGTATATTCTCCTGGGTATAGCATTTGTACCGTACTTTCTTGGAAAGGTGTCCGAAAGATTTCAAATGTAAATCGCTACACATTTTGCGTAAAATACCTACTCTACAGCGGTCAAAATTCAGCAGTGGAGCCCGTTTACGAGCTTCATATATGCCAGAGGAGTAAGATAAGGCTGTCTACTATCACCCATGATATTCTTGATTGTGGTGGACTGGATCATACAACAAACAGTGAGGAGCGAGAAGATGGGCATACGCTGACTGAACAGATGAAAAGAGCCTAGAAGATTTGGATTTCGCCAACGATGACTTGTGTCTAATGTCACACAAACTCAAAGATCTACTGGCGAAAACTAACAAGTTGACAGAAGAGGCGAGGCAGCAAAGGAAGACGGGACTTCAAATGAACATAGAGAAGACAGAGGTGATGATGGTATCCAACCAACACCACCAACCACAACAAGCTCCAATCACCATCAATAGTAATATAATCAGATTATCAAGGATTACCGAGGTAAATTAAGTGAAATTGTGGGACCCAGGATGCACATTTCGTCCTACCTGGGACTCAGCTGGATTTATCTGACTCCTAGTGAGTGATGTGGTTCCCACCGGGATTTGGACTCGGCAGTGATCGCTTAAAACGCCAGAGCGTTATCCACTGCACCACCAAGCGACGATAGTCACTTCTTGTGTGACGGGTATAGTTTTAATGTTATTGCTTGTATTACACCGTCGTTGATTGAACCGAATTAATCAATCTCTATTGACATATGGGCTCGTGTGCGAATGCCTGGATAATAATAATAATAATAATAATAACGGATAAATTGTTTTTGTACGCATTGGCGGGGCTTAAATTTATGAATGGCTAACGCTTCGGCAAATTTCAGTATACTATTCGTACAGTTAAACGCCTGTTGTGTATACAGAAACAATTTATTGTTTCACTTAATTTACCTTGATAATCCTTATCTGATAATATTACCAAGATTAGTATCACAACCTTTTCATATTCATCATATTTGACCTTTCATTTTCGTATGTAAATTGACATGACAAGTAAATGTGTGATCAGTTTTATAAATCACCACGTGGTCTAGTAAATTACAACTCAGTGTTTCCAGTCTTATTCGCCTTGCTAAGTCTCATGTGATCAAATTGCAAAGCTACGCTATGCATCATCATAGAACAGAGCATAGAGTGGCAGTCAACTGGATCTTCACCTTAACTTCATCGACTTTGAAAAGGCCTTCGACCGAGGTGTCGATAGAGAATTAATTTGGCAGCTGCTTCTACACTACGGTTTTAGTGCCACAATTTTTTATCAACCTCATTCGACAGCTGTATGTTATATGATGCTACATGCCAAGTGATTGACAATGGAAAGCCTAGTGATGATGACTTTGAAGTGAAAACAGGAGTAAGCTAAGGTTGCCGCCTACTATCACCGATCATCGTCCTGGTTATGGTCGACTGGATCATACAACAGACTGTGAGGAACGAGAAGAGGGGTATACGCCGGACGGATAAGAAGACCGTAGAAGACTTGGATTCCGCCGATGATGCTTTATGTCTAATGTCTCACAAGCTCGAAGATCTACACGCAAAAACCAACAAGTTGACAGAAGAGATAGCGAAAACGGTCAAATATAATGAATATGAAAAGGTTGGGACACTAGTCATGGCGTTGCTATGTGGAGTCCATTAGAACCGTTATTAGCTGATGTATATATATGTCACATATTGAACTATTAATGGCTTAGAATCTAATCAGTAATATCACATCCTATAGAAGATATGTTTATGATATCATTGTAATATGTGACACAGATGAGGATGCCAAGAGTTTGTTAAAAAGGCTTAATACCGTACAAGATCATATCAGTCTGATATATGAGGAAGAAAATGATCATCAACTTGCATTTCTTGATATATTCTTGTGTCGGAAAGAAGATGGATCTATCAACTGATTAATCTATAGAAAGCCTACTTGAACAGGACAGGACAGGACAGGACAGGACAGTACTTGAGTTTCTACAGATTTTGTCCAACAAAATATAAGAGAGGTTTATTAAGATGCTTATTGAATAGGATCCAGTGTATTTGAACATGTGATACAATGGATGATGAGAGGGAATTTCTGACAGACATTGTAATGGAAAATGGTTATCCATTACAGTTTGTCAATCATTGTAAAAAGCAGCTGACCCCGAAGCCTATAGTTTCCTGGGTCTCGAAGTAGGATATATTTCTTAAAGTATGATATAGAGGGGAAACGAGTAGTTTGATATTGAAACAGCTCAGCTTATCATTGTTAAGACAACAAAACACTAGCTTTACACCACAAACCTCAACCTCGGATAAATGATTACGTCACATCTCGCTGTGTTCACCCATCTACATATATGTGTGAGCACACATACATAGTGAGCACTAGTCGTTCAATTCAGACTGGGGTGGGTGAACACATACCCAAATGGCTAGAAAAAACAGTTTAACACACAAACGAGTAGTATGATATTGAAACAGAGATTAAAATCTGTTATCAGTAAAACATACTGTGCAGTTCAGCTTATCATTATTGAGACAACAAAACATTAGCTTTTCACCACAAACCTCAACCTTGCATAAAGATTATGTCATATCCCACTGTGTTTAGCAATTCACATGTATGTGTGGGCACATATACATACGGACGAGTAATCGTGCTGTGCAGAGTAGAGTGGGTGAACATTTACCTAAATGGCTTGGAAAGTAGTTTAACACAAACTTTGATAAGTGCAGGTGACAGACATCCATCCTTATCTATAGCAAAAAGCGTATCATCGAAATGAATGATAAAGTGAATAAGAAAACAGCCTTGAAGATATAACATAGGAATAGTCAGGGGGCACATAATGAAATTCGCCGAAGAGTTAGCTGTACGTAAACTGAAGTCTCCATTTTGTGTACAAAATCAGTTTATTGCTTCACTTAATTTACCTTGGTAATCCTTATCTAATTATATCACTTAGACTAGCTGAAGACCTCGGTTGATAGTCGCGCTATGTCGTGAATTAACAGAAGTCGGAAATTGTGAACCACTGGGATCCGACCCAGTGGCTGAATGTTTAACGCGTTCGCCGTAAAACCTGAAGGTCCTGAGTTCGATCCCTACCCGGTGGGGTCGTGGGTGCGTACTGCTGAGGAGTCTCGTACTAGGTCGGAACAGCTGTCCAATGCTCCCAGATTTTCAATGGTTCCCCAACGGATGTCAGTCCATCACGAATACTAGTTCTATACCAAGACTAGTGTCACAATCTTTTCACATTCATTATATCTTACCTTTCATTTTCCTTTATAAATTGACTTGACAAGCAGATGTACGGGGGATTAGATTTTTCGAAATGTATTACACAAATACACATCATATATTTTTCAGACAATCTTCATCAACTCATATTAACATTATTTAGAAAAGCAGTAGTGTCAAAAAAAGGGGTTGTTAACGAGCTTGTAGGTTGCGTAATTATATGAAAAACTGGAAAGTCGTTAAGTGATTAACAGTCAGTAAGCAATTACTGAAGCGATGATGCAATCGAAAAAGGGAAGACTATATACATATATATGCAAAATATTATATACACTTACCAGGGTAAAAAAAGTTAATTACAGTCTCTTTCTTAGGTCAGATTGAAAATGTTTGGTGGTGTATTCTTCCGCTAACCATAATAAAGATGGCGTTCTTTTTTGTTGATTATCCTGAAGGATTCAGAGACATCCATTTGATATTATGCTTCCATCAGGTGCCTAGCGATTGGGCTGGTAAAGACGTTACTACCTCTCAGACACCAATTTCTTGAAATATACTTATAAAGTTGAGTAGACGCCCTTCTTTTAGTTATTTCTATGTACTTGCTTCAACAGACACAAGGTAATTGATATACACAGTTGGAGGTGATGTGAGCTGCGTATTAGTCTACTTCCTACTGTTACTTAGTATACTGTATTGTAAACTGAGATCAAACTGATAGCAGGGAAGTGCCTTCTCAGTGCAGCTTTTATTCTTCTGTATATTATTTTAGATGTCTCATCATTCTTGAATACTAGACAAAGAAAAGCAGGTTCCTTCTCAACAGTTGAGTATGTAGGTCTCTCAATAAATTCTTTTCTATACCACATAGTTTCTTGTAACATCCATCCTCTAGAAGAGTCTTTCCAATGACAGCGAATTTTTCTTCTCGTTTGTCTTTTGAGTATAGCGTTTTTATTCTAGTGAAAATCGTTCTAACTAAACCACGCTTGCTTACAGCTGACATGATAGAAACGCTTGTCGTGTATTTAGTGTAGATAGTTTTCTAAACTGTACTGTTATATCTCCGTCTTATACTCACGTCCAAGAAATTTATTTCTACATATTCAAAGTAGGTTATGTCATTATTACTATTAACAGTTCATTTCAAGTGTAAGCTATTTACAACTGATAAAAGGTTGTGAAATAAAAGGAGCTCATTTCATCCTACAAATGTAATTGTTCTTGCATTATTCATTGAAGTCTCAAATAGAAGTACGAACCAATTGGATAGTTGATTTACACAATAAGATTGTACGGAAGTATTATGTGTGCTACATACAGTTATAGCTTCAAAGACCTAATCTAATTTTCTTTTTTTCTTTTTCAAAATAACCCTTAACAGGTTAACATTGGATCTGAAACTGTTGAGAAAGCTGAACAGTATTTAGTACGAGCAGATGAACAGTTGAGAATAGCTGCTAATGATCTTCTCCTTCCTGGTACACCTACTTCAACTTCTACAAATTTTAATCCTATGGAAAATCTTCGAAATGGTTTAAATGATCTCGGTCCCGAATTATCTCCCTTATTACAAACTATCCTTGATGAAACAATATTATCTAATCCAATTGGTCGACATTTACAACCTAAACAAGGTTGTTTATCTCTACCAGATCAACCATCAGAATCGACTTGTTTAAATTTGAACAATTTCGATGATTTTCGAATATCTGATCATATTGATATGGCTCTTTGGGATTTTTTATTTCAATCGAAAGATGATTCTGAAATGGACATCAATTAGTGTATACACTCAGCTTATCATCACCTTTATTCTGTATTGTTTTTGAATATTTATGACCTTAGTCTTATACAAGTTTTTTTTTTAACTTTGTGAACAGGTTTTTAAACCCTACCAAGTAGAAACAATCATTTTGTTTTTCTAGTGTAAAATTGTTATTAATCATACCTAAATTATCATATATAGATACTCTTGAAAAGGATTTTCTTAGCAAGATCAAAGTGTTGAGGAATAATACAAGATATTTGTTAGGGTTCTGAGCTGAAGTTAATACTGAAGAGATGTCGTCCCAGAAAGACGATGAAATTTTCATGAGTAAATAACTCAACCCAGAGAATACAACCAAGACTATCCACCTGAGCTACAAATATTCTCCACCATTTCACAAGTAAAATACATGTTAAACTATGATATTTAGATGTGTTTGCCATATCGTCCTCTCGGATGTTTCTTAGCATGAAAATTTATTCAACTCTTCTTGGTGAAGTAGCATAAGTGAGATATCTGAATGCCGACTAACGGTCGAATACCCAACCCACCAGTTCACTTGGTCTCACTAAATGACTTTGAAGCTTGGCCATTCATTGAATGTAGAAAGGCTTCGATTACGCTTAGCATCGCTCGCATGTAGTGGGATGACAGTGTTAATCACACAAAGCTAAGACGATGTAGGTAGAGAAAAAGATTTTTTTAATGATTTATCTACCGAAATCGCTAGGAAATGTATCACGCCTGCCGAGCTACTATTATCTATCCTAAGGCATACTACTAACCGAAATAGGGTTAAATTAGAATAAAGCTGATTGTTGAGGTTTTCGGATACAGTTAATTGAGTTCGCGTTATCCAGTTACTGAATGAAGAAGAAGGCAATATTGAACTGAATAGAGTTTACTCCAATCGAAAGTATCAATGCAGGGACACATGCCTTGCGTTCTTTTATAATGCATGCGTCCTTGAGGCGAACAGACAAAATAACATTAAAGGTAGGACATCAGCCAATAGGAAGGCAGCGTTCTTCAAAGCGCCAAAATTGACCAATACATGTGGTACCGAAAAAAGGCGCGAAAAGGACAATTCAAACTTTCAATAAAATAAATTTCTAAAATTTAAGCATAAAGCGTTCATTTTGGGGGATATAACAGCCCTAGCACCCATCTCCTAGATCAAGATATGTGATCAGTACATGAATTTTATAACCATTGGTCTGAGTCATATTGGAAGAGTCGACTACCTGTTTGAGGTTTACCAGATAAATGGACATGATGGTTGGAAACCTTTGATTATATGGCGTAAAATTTACCACATTAGCGTAGATGTATCCATGTGTTAACTTCACCCAAGTTGCACTGTTACATATCCTTATTTCCTTTTTATGACTTTGTATCATGTCTAATGGTTAATTAATCCTAAACTTGTATTTTATTTTACTTGACCTCCACTGTAGTATGAAATACTTCCACAGAGTTGTCAAGTCCTACATTGTGTACGTATCTGTCATTCTGCATAGTCAAAAGAATCTATGGATTTGTGATGATAAATTCACTTCTAAACAAAAAGTTACTTTAAGTAAGACCCCAAGCGAACTAAAATCATCAGAAATAAACACTTCAGCAAAACAATTAAACTTAAAATGTAACCGTGAATGAATTAGATCTTAAGAATACCTAATAGTATGCTTACTTTATTCCGAACCATAATTTTCTTTACAGTACAGGATTCTCAGCATATGATACTGAAACACATCATAAAGAATAAAATGACTTTTGAAACGTTTATAGACTTCAGGGTCGTGATAAATGATCTCTATTGCAGATCTGATCGATAAGACTATGTCACACAAGCTAAATAAGGTATGGTTATTTGTTTATATGTAGTTGTGCGTACATAGAGTTTAATATATTTGCTTCATGTCCTCCCAGAGGACAGACATAGAGGTGCGGATGCAGAGAATGCTTATCATCACATAAAATATTTTTATACAGCTATATATAAGAGTTCAGATGTCTATCCACAACCTTATTTATCAGTATGTTTAGTGGTATACCACTTACTCTCCTAAAAAGCTTTAAGAACCTATGTAATGCAGGATAGTCTTTATTGTAGAGTCCAGGAAAGGGGGAATAATAAGTATAGACAAAATAAGGGGATTAATGAAGTGTAGAGCCTGAATCTCCTTACGTAAATGGTCAAGAGAGCGATTTTTCTGGGGAAAAAATATATGAGGGGACCAAGGAAGATCAGAAGAAAAACACAACCTAATATGGATCATATTTGTTACACTTTCTACAATACAGCCATCCATAAGACAAACGTCATGATTAGTACACTTTTTCCTCTTCTCAACCTTTCTAAATGCGGAGAAGAAAGTCTATTAAACCTTGGAAAAATTAATCCAGTTGGACGGCAAATATCAAGGCAAAATTTAAGATAGCATGTAACAGCACCAGTTGCGTCATCCAGCGCATCATTTTCAAGTATTTCCCATTCTCTGTTCTCTAACATGCACCTCAATTTATGTATATTGTCATATGTAAAGCTCCGGTGTACAATCTTCTTAGATTGGTACCTAATAGTATTTTTCTGCAATTTGCCGTATATCCTTATCAGAACACGTTTTATACAGTGATCTGAGCTCAACAGTGGTGCATGTTTACAACTTTCATATATACCAGGTTCAATAACAAAGACCAAGTCTATTGTGATATTAAAGTGAGTTGAAAAACTAACTAGATTACTGTAATCAAGAGAATATAGGAAGCTACAGTCACAAGAGTTAAAAGCACCCCAAACAATAGACAATGATTCACATTTTATAAGAGCAGCGAATTTCGTGAATTCGTCAAAGAATCTGGATAATTCGGAATAGCTATAATCAGGAGTTACGTAAACATTGGTGATGTGAATGAATTCAAATCTTAGTATAATTGCTTGTATTATACCGTCGTTGATTGAACCGAATTGAACGGTCTCTATTAGCATATGGGATCCTGTGCGAATGCTTCGATATACCTGTGTTCTAGTTATAGTAAAAATGGATAGTGGCTAGCAGTGGAATCCAGGATGCTTATTTCGTCCTATTTGGGACTCATCGACTGGATGTACCTGCCTCCCAGTGAGTGTTGTTCTTCCCACCGGTGTAATACAAGCAATAACATTAAAACTATACCCGTCACATAAGAAGTGACTACCGTGGCTCGATGGTGTAGTGGACAACGCTCTGGCGTTTGAAGCGATAGCTGCCGGGTTCGAATCCCGGTGGGAAGAACATGACTCACTGGGAGGCAGATACATCCAGCTGACGAGTCCCAAACAGGACGAAATGTGCATCTTGGATTCCACTGCTAGCCACTATCTATCTTTACCACAACTCGAATTCAAAGTTATCTAAATATTTGGGATGATACTTAACAGTGATACAGTCCATTTTGTCATCATTTCTAAGATGAAATTAACAAATGTTCAGTAGATAAGATGACGAGGTATAAGCAGAGTATTGAAATATCCGGGGGAAAAAAGAATTCAACAAAATTAGAAATGTAATCTCTAAAAATAATTTGAAAGTCATAGAAGTATAGAAATCACCAAGTTAAAGGAAGGCGGCAGTTCCATTTTACATTACTGAGTTCAGAAAACACGGCTAATGAACTTTGTTATGAATGAGGTCAAGAAATCCACCTAAGATCTATAGCACCCGAAGAAGTTATTTCTCTATGGGACTTTATCTAAATCCTGCCACTTGCGGAATAACTGATATATACATAATTCAGCTTTTGAAATATTTCTAAATTGTCAGTCTATCTAAGTTTCCTGAATTGTTAGCTTCACTTTGATCACAGATTTTAGACTTAACCCACCTACGAAGATTGTGTATAGTCAGACTGAATCACTTATCTTTAAATAATGCTTACAAACTGGCTATTGAATCACATTGCTTTTTAAGAATTTTCCGAAGAAATTAAGTAACGTTTTTAATTAGCATAACTATACAGTCTTTAGAGACCGTTTTATGCTGTGTACATAAAAGTATTGGAAAATGAGGCTTATAATTCAATTTAACACCTTATCATTTTTTGATAAAAGGTTTCTTTATTGATACGCTTTATAACGAATGTCAGGTATCTATGTATGTCAAGAACAAGATATTTAGCGAAAAGACTCTTTTCAATGAATATATTTTCAAGCTGTACAATATCATCGTTGAGTACCTATCCTCACGGCCATCAGGCTTTGACTCCACCGGTCACGACTTCTCATTGGAACTTCAGGAATACTTCTCGAAGCTAGTCACCGATGAGCACCAGTTCGTGAGCTAACAGAAGTTGGAAATATGGAGCACTAGGTCCGGACCCAGTAGCTCAATGGTAACACACTGGCCGCGGAACCTGAAGATCGCGGGTTCGATCCGGGGAGGGCGGATCGTGGGTGCGTACTGCTGAGGAGTCCCACACTAGGACGAAACAACTGCCCAGTGCTCCCAGGTTTCCTTTGTTCCTCCAATTGATGTCAGTCTACGATGAATAACAACTTGTTCTTATAATCACAAATGTCTATGTCATCATCCGCTCTATTATTATTATCATCATCATATAGTGTTTAGTTTTCCTCACGGGACATAATTTTTTCAAATACCATATGGTTGTACAGCTTGAAAGTATATTCATTGAAAAGAGTCTTTTCGCTGAATATCTTGTTCTTGATATTACAATGGGAATTATTAAATCTATGTATGTGTACTTTTATAATGTAGTAAGTGGAAAAAAGACTAAAGTTAGTATAACAATACATTTTGATTTTCAAGGTATTATTCACTATGGATTCATATCAGTTGAAATAGTTTCTGAGTTCGATTCCTGGGGTTTAATTGGTGCATACTTTCGGGGTATCCCATACTAGTAGAAAATAGTTGTACAGTGCTCCCAGGCTTCTAGTAATAGTTCTCCAGACGGTCTTAATCCGTGATGACTACTATCTTAAAAATAAAATCCCTATAAATTCCAATCTACATCTTAATTTCTCTCAACTACTACCTTTGGTGATGAATAAGAATATGTGCGATATCGTTGTATAGACAAATTTATTTTGCATTAGTGAATGAGTATCAGCTATATTTGCCGAGGTGAAGGCTAATTCAGATAAGTAAAATCAATGCAGGAAGAATAACACAGGTTGCCAAACTTCACAGTTACATGCAAAGAACG